ATGCTTCTTAAATGTTAGTTTCTTATACTACACGATAAACCACTTTTAAAACTATGGGGCAGAGAATCCAAAGTAGTTTGTCACATGGCATTATGTCTCTTGTCCAGTTTGGGAAAGGCAACCCTGTTGAAGACACCTAAGAAAACTTCTGTTGCCCTTGGATACATTTGAAGTAATTGCTGGACCATCGAGCTGGTCTCACACACAGTGACAGAGTCACCCACTTCCTGCTTGAAGAGGCACATAGATGAGGTAGCTCACAGCAAGGCAGATCCAGGTCTAAGATAGTAAGTTATTGTGGTCCCTGCTCCCTCTCCCCAGTTCAATACTTCAATAGTTAATGAAGTATTTGTTCTTAACTGGCTTCTTCTTTAAGAAGATAATGCAGTAGCTCTATGGATTGTGGACATTGTTAAATGCTCAGTTGCTACAGAGGGCCACTAGATAAATGAGTTTCAGAAGTATTCTGTTCTGTAGTATCAAGATTTATACACATGGGCTTAGGTACACAAATGATTGCTAAATTTAACAAGGATAAGAAATGTAGTATAAAAAAGACAACGTTGGCAACTTTATGGTTTGTAGGGCCCTTGAGGAGGTGCATAATCATTCATCTACATAAATGTGACTGTCTGAAAATATGACCGAACTAAATGCATAAGAATGAGTTCGCTATTAACATGGGTTATATTTTTTAACTATTATATTATTAAAGCGTACTTTTCCATTTCTAATTAATGATTTATGTGTATGTAGAAGTAAAAATGAAAACACCTCCAACTGAAAGTAAACTCTCTTTGAAGGAACAAAAGGAATGAAAATTCAAAGATTTTCATAAAACATTCATAAAATTCACACATATTTTCTTTGACACTTCCATTGCAAAAAATAAAATAAAAAGGTAAATTAACTTTTCATAATCTGCATCCTCCAATGCGGAACTTTTAGTCACTAAAATTTCTGAACTCATTAAATGCTCTGGAGATATAGTAGAAAACAAGTATTTTTTAGCTTTTTTAAGGCCGTTGAATGATCTTTCACTGATGTAAGTATTCATTTGATATAAGTAATGTTAAAAAAAGAAACGAATTACCACCGTATTTGGAAATGGAGCACTCAAGCCTCCAATAACAAGCTTGTTAAGTACAGTGGGGGACTAAGGCACAATGCCATTAGGATGGAGCAGGTCTGTGGGCTCAACCAGCATTAAAGCCCTCTGCCATACTTAGACCCAGCCCAAAGTAGACTTAGATTCAGACTTAGACTCAGCCCAAGTCTAAGACTCAGGCTTAGAATCAGCCCGAAGTAGGCCTGCTCCTCCATGGAGTTTGGATCTGGTGTCCTTTACACTGGCATAACTTAAGCCCTCCTCCCATACTTATGATTACTCCTTTGGTCATACCCATTAATTTCCTCAACCCGTACCTGTTTCAAAATTATGAACAACAGGTGTTTCAACATCTGCTTTCTGTAATGTGGTGGTGAAAGCAGAGGACTCTCTCTCTCTTCCTTCCCCATTTTTGCAGAGCAATAACAGTTCACATATCAAGATGAATTTACCTAATTTACAATTTCCAAAATAATATGTGAACTGAAACACGGGCATCTTTTGAAATTCACACTCCTCCAAATTTTGCAGTGTTGTTCTCCAGCCAAGTAATATGTGCAAAATGCAAATACTGGGCCAAAGTGTGTGTAAAATGAATATATTAGTGGGAAATGTTATATATTAGAGAAAATATAAATATTAGGCGAAATGTGCTTTGCGAAAATGTGTATTTTAGGCAAACTTGCATACAAAAAGTGTATAAGGAGAAAATGACACATAAAAGGCTGATTCATTTTCATGCACACTTCTCTTTTTTTAAAAAAAAAAGAAAAAACTTTGCAAAGTGATACAGAAATGTGGAGAACTGAACTTAAGAAAGGAAAAAATGAGAAACTGGGAGAAGCCAAAGGTGGACAGATTAAGTGGCAAGTCCTAGTTACTGCTGCAAGTCTTCCCATGGGGCAAACTGGGGATGCAGAATGTGGTTCTTAGTACGGTAGAAAAAAAAATCATTGAGAGATGAGGAACTCTTTGCTCAAGTATTTACAAATTCTAAAGACCCAATTGAATTTATTCCTGAATAAGCATACAATAAACACAATTGCAAGGAATTAGATTTTGACTAAGCTTTAGAAGAAGCATTTCAGCAGTGGAAATGACAGCCTCAGTATGTGGCAGGCTTTCCTTCGCTAGTGGTATTTAAGCAGAGGCAGGGATGCTGCAACCTGGTCTGTGGATTATTCATTGAGCAACGGTGGAACGCTATGGCTTCCAGATCTACAGCTATGTGCCTATGGTCAGACTGTAGTCTTGGGCATACATTCTTAGGAGTAAGTCCTATGTAATTAGTAAGTTCTACTTTAAAGTAAATATAGAGAGAGTTAAGTTACAAATTCCATGAAATTTGACACAGGATTTGTGAAAAACCCAGGGGAAAAACAACAACAGGTTGCTTGGTTTTTGAACATTTTAAATTATAGTGTGGATTACAGAATTCAAAATATGCATGCAGGAAACAAAATTGGATGCTTGCTAACACGGGATTTTAAGGTCATGACAATCTACGCTGGCATAATTGCCTGATTGGCTGGTTCTATCAATCTCATTTTGACAGAGCAAGCCCCTTGCCTTGCCTTCCAGCACTTGCTCAAGGATCTTTCTGCTCGAGCAAGATACGGGCAAGGTGGAGGTAAGAGCCATCTGTACGAAGCAGGGATACAAACAAGGGCCTTTCCTCACCTTCATTATGTAAATAAGCCCCACAAATCTTCAAGAAATGAGGTGTTATTATCAATCAGACATGAAATGTTTGCTGCTGTGTGGGAAGAGGAAATTGCCGGCAGACTATCTAGGATAGGCCGGAGGCAATTTCCCCATGTAAGATTTTGAAATAAAGGGCATTGAGTGCCATATATTTATAAAACCTTGGTTATGAAAGCAGGGAGGTGATGTGGTATTAAGGGCACATGAATGTTGGATATTTGAATCGTGTTCAGACTTACACTGCTTGCTTGCTTGCTTGCTTGCTTGCTTGCTTGCTTGCCTGCCTGCCTGCCTGCCTGGACTTCTGCACAGCTATAAAGTTCTTACAGCAGGGATTGGGCACTTTTGGCTCTCCAGATTATGTTGGACCATCTTGCCAATCATTGACCATGCTGGCTGGGGCTGATGGCAGCTGAGGTCCAATAATGGGGGCGGGGGGGCACAGATTTCTCATACTATCTATATAGGAGATGGAAATCTATCCCCATTCTGCCCGCAGCATACCAACCTATTTATGTTTTTTTGTAGCATATTGAAAGACACTAGAGCATGGGTAAAGGTAAAGGGGACCCCTAACCATTAGGTCCAGTTGCGGATGACTCTGGGGTTGCGGCGCTCATCTTGCTTTACTGGCCGAGGGAGCCGGCGTACAGCTTCCGGGTCGTGTGGCCAGCATGACTAAGCCGCTTCTGGCGAACCAGAGCAGCGCATGGAAACACCATTTTCCTTCCCGCCAGAGTGGTACCTATTTATCTACTTGCACTTCAACGTACTTTTAACTGCTAGGTTGGCAGGAGCAGGGACTGAGCAATGGGAGCTCACCCCGTCGCAGGGATTCGAACCGTCAACCTTCTGATTGGCAAGTCCTAGACTCTGTGGTTAAGACCACAGCGCCACCTGCATCCCATGGGTAGAGATTTTTTTTTCTTCATCCAGAAGGCCACATTCCCTTTTGGGCAACTTTCCAGGGGTCGCATAGCAGTGGTGGGTGTTTTATTCCTCTCTATGTTCACAGCTCTTACTGTCAGGAAGTTCTTCCTAATGTTTAGGTGGAATCTTCTTTCTTGTAGTTTGGATCCATTGCTCCGTGTCCGCTTCTCTGGAGCAGCAGAAAACAGCCTTTCTCCCTCCTCTATGTGACATCCTTTTATATATTTGAACATGGCTATCATATCACCCCTTAACCTCCTCTTCTCCAGGCTAAACATGCCCAGCTCCCTTAGCCGTTCCTCATAAGGCATCATTTCCAGGCCTTTGACCATTTTGGTTGCCCTCCTCTGGACACGTTCCAGTTTGTCAGTGTCCTTCTTGAACTGTGGTGCCCAGAACTGGACACAGTACTCCAGGTGAGGTCTGACCAGAGCAGAATACAGTGGCACTATTACTTCCCTTGATCTAGATGCTATACTCCTATTGATGAGGCCCAGAATTGCATTGGCTTTTTTAGCTGCCGCGTCACACTGTTGGCTCATGTCAAGTTTGTGGTCAACCAAGACTCCTAGATCCTTTTCACATGTACTGCTCTCAAGCCAGGTGTCCCCCATCTTGTATTTGTGCCTCTCATTTTTTTTGCCCAATCCAGGGAAGGAAAAAGCATTATGACATTATGAGAACTCAAGGACATTTCAGCCAGGCAAAAACTCAAGGAGAGTGCACTGCAGGGTCAGTATAGGCATGTGACACGGGAAAAACTCTAAGGGCCAAACAGAGTGGTTTGGAGGGTCACATTCAAACCAGCTTAAGCTTTTCTACCCCTGGTCAGGGAACAGAGTGTGGGAGAATTCATAAGCTTTATCAGCTGTTCACCTCACCAAATCCATGGTTTTGAAGCTAGTTATTATCTTTCAACCAGAAAAGTCCAGTCATTGAATTTAGAAGCTTGGAGGGGTTATCTTGATATTGGTCATTGACTGTCATAAAACAACTTGTACTTGATCTTTCAACCTAACATCTCACAGAGCTGTTGTGATAATAAAATGAGGCAATTGCTTGTATGCTGTTGAAGAGTCATTTCTTTTTGTACCACCCCAATGTATGCATCAAAAGCAATGGGGGAGACTTTCTGCAGAAAGTATTTCCTTGGTAAAAAGTGGCCAATGGAACTCAAGGGTGTAACACAGAATCCACATTTAGTTAGGCTTTAACTGGAAAAAGAATATTTATTTTCAATTGTTGTTTCATCTCACAGATGAAGAAACTTCGCATGGACCTATTTTTATTCAAGAGCCATTTGATGTCATTTACTCAGTGAGTTCTGAAGATCCAGAAGTAATTTTGAACTGTACAGCTAAAGGACATCCTTTGCCAATCTACAGGTAAGGTTTTTGTTTTGGTTTTGCAACTGTTACCATTTTGAATGGCTTTGAGAAGAGGTTAATGGAATATCACTCCACTCTACAATTTTTCAAATGAAGACTCAGCAGCAAAAATGTAAGAAATGAACATTGATGTGGTGACAGACAAAAAGAAAGAAGGTTGAACCTCTTAGTTTTAATCACAATAGGCATTTGTGATGGGAACAAGGAATTCCTGTCATAAATTCTGCATGCAAAAACTCTCTATGCATCATCCCCATTCCTTCTCTCTCATCTCTTACTCTAGCTTCATTTCTCTCTCTGTAGAAAAGCATAATTTGATATGTTCATTTAACAGTAGTGAAGTGATAATGACAAGGCCCATTTACAACACTAAGCTAAATTTTCAAAAGTTATTTTAAATTCCATTTTGGTGTTCCACAAAATAACAAAAGCTTACTTTAAAACTTAAGTACAGGTATAATTGGCTATGAGTCAAATGAGTCAAGATGTGAAATACAGGGTTTATGGGATGTGGCTTCAGGGGTTTTTTTCTTTCAGCAATGCAGCGGGGGCGGGGGTACACCTTCATGAAAAAATGGAGGGAAAGGTTTGGACTATCTTTTTTAAATCAAGTGCCAAGTCCACGGCCCAAACCCACAACCTAGTTAGAAAACAATTCCAAAAAGAAATGTAGGAGGTCTCAGGGACCAGGAGTCTGAAGCGGAAGAGAACGCAGACCCAGGTCCAGATGAACTGCCACAAGATGAACCTGCAGAGCTACTGCCCCACCTGCTGGGCTCAAGGATGTGGCGCTTGCTTTTTCTGACTCCCAACACTCCACTGCAGAAGACCCTGGTAGAGCTCAGCCTGCCCCACTGTGTCACAGTAGGAGATTACCAGAAAAGGCTGGGTTTTGCTGCTGACGACAAGGCTGTACCACCTCCTGTTCCTTTCAACTACAGAACTCTGTGGTTCCTAGAGCACTGCCTGAATCCTGCCTGGCACTTAGTTTGGGCTGGGCATTGATTGGGGGAGCAGGGCAGCAGTGGCACCAGCCCTACAGGGTTCCTTCAGAGTCCCAAATCTGCTGTCTTTACTCCAGGGGAAAGCTGGTGAATGCCTTATTCCCTTAGCAAGGAAACCTGGAACTTTTCTATTAGGACCCCTGCCAAAAGCCAGGGAATATTAACTAAGTTAAGTTGCCCCACCACCTCAAAGCACTTTATCAAAGCGATGTGGTTTCCTCACTCCAAGCTTTGCCCAACTATTCAATCCCTCCCTACTGCCTCACAGGCTGCCTATATTTTATATTATTTTATATTTTATATTATTTTATATTTTATATTATTTTATATTATTTTATATTTTATATTATTTTATATTATTTTATATTTTATATTATTTTATATTATTTTATATTTTATATTATTTTATATTTTATATTTTATATTTTATATTTATTTTATATTTTATATTTTATATTTATTTTATATTTTATATTTTATATTCCTGCCTATCTGAATCAGTTCCCCCAGTCAATAATTCCAACCAATTAAACCATCAAACATTAAAAACTTCCTATACAGGGCCTTCAGATGTCTTCTAAAGATCAGCTGGTTGTTTATTTCCTTGACCTCCGATGGGAGGGAGTTCCACATGGCAGGGCATGACTACTGAGAAGGCCCTCTGCCATTGCTGGTGACATTGAGGCAAAGAGAAAGATGAAGCCTCCCTCTGGAACAATCACTGCTGCTACTGCTCACTTTTTCTCTCAGCCTGTTTGCCTCACTATAGGCTGAAGAAGCTTAGGTATCCATCAGCCTCACTCATCAGTACCTGATTCCACCTCCAACTCAGCTGTGCTCATTTCCAACTGGTACAGGAGTTGAGCAGTGCAGCCATTGGGTCTGACCATCACCAACCCCTGACACCGTAATTTTAAACTTTGGAGGGGAAAGCCAAAACCTCCTAATCCTACTAGGTTTACATGCATGCAGTAGAATCCCTCAGAATACTATGTTTTTGCAGAGTGAGGATGAAAGTTTGTTTTCTGTGGTGATACTATACATTTAAGGAAAGCCTATTGACTGCAGTAATAATTTTTTTGCAACTTCATTTCAAAAACCCATAATGCTTAACGACCTTACTACAAAAAAATATGGCACTGAAGTGAGCACAGGGAGAATAAGTAAAAATGAATCATTAAATCCTGCATTGTACAACAAACTACAGAATAAAAGGGCTGACTAGAATGAAAACAAAACAGAAGACAAACTATAAGCATAAAGTACTGTATATATTATTACATATGAGAACTCTGCAAAAAAAATTGTTCTCAGTCAAACTTGGCCTTTATGGGTGCAATCCACATCCTGTTAAGTTAATAGATTGCTGTTTCACTACATACCAAAGACAATTACAGGTCAACTTAGCTGGCTGAAGTCTTCTTTTCTATTGTACAAATGGGATTTGGGTGCAGAGAGCATTTTGAAGGAAAGAAAATTTTCAAAGAACTCCCACTCCCACCCCGGCCACAAATTTTGCTGCATGCAAAAACAACACATTTCCTTCCAATTTGGGTGTATAAATCCACATGCCCACACCACCCATGAATTGGAGAAATTATTATTGTGGTGCATTTCTTCTGTGCCACAAAACAAAAGGGCAAAAAGCAGGGATCACATAGTTGAGGTACTCAGCCTGAAGTGCAACTGGCATGCTTACTCAAGGAGACTTTTCAGGGATATTGACTTAATCTATGACTCCTATTCTGGCAGTACTCTCCTGCTGTATTGTGGTTTATTTTGGCACATTTTTAAATTGTTTTAATGATTTGGGTTTAATTGTGTTTTACTGACCCTTGTAAGCTACACATAAATAAAGTTCCCCTTCTTCTCAGTCTGGACCCGTTTCATTCAAAATGGCTGTTTATACGCCATACATATAAATCACACGACTCCCCCCCCCCCGCAACCAAGAATCCTGGGAACTGTTAAGCATGCTGGGAGCTTGGCACTGTGCAGGCTGAACTATCATTCCCTGGTATCTTTGGGGAATTCATGTACTTTAAACATATAGTGTGCGCTTAGCCTAAGTCTCCTCAACCACCTCAAGCTAGCTAGCCTTCCTTCCTTGTCCTGCCACCCCATTCCCTCAGCCCCAAACTCATCTGATGGTGGGGTGGGGCAGTAGTCATGATGGCAAGGTGCATGGGGCAGATCCAGGCACCCTGTAAAATTATTTTGTAACCATTATTATTATCTAGTGCCATGGGACACTCGTGTTTGCAGCTTTCTAGGTGTAAATGAATTAAAGAAGCCTTGCATGAAGGCATCCAGAGAGACTGTTTTTACTGCCCTTGGCCACTATTGATCTGCCACCCTCAGGTAACTGTGTAAGAAAAAGGTATTAGGAAAGGGTTTAGGGCAGAGAAGGGGGACCTGTGGCCCTCCAGAATTTGCTGGACTACATCTCTCATCATCCCTGCCCAGTGCCCAAGCTGGCTAAGGGTTGATATGAGTGGGAATCCAGCAACAATCTGGAGGGTCACAGGTCCTAAAATTCTGATTTAAGGGTTCACTGGGAATTGGGGAAACATATAGGAGGCAATAGATGGGTGTTTGATTCCTTCATGCACCTGGTAACATTATCAGAAATGGGGCAGGGTTTCAAAATTTGATATTTGGCTAAAGAGAATCTGTCTGTTTCCAGTTTTTTGAGAAAATGCCCTGCCCCCAAGTCCAATTCTGAATCTAGTGGAAGGCAATTCATCTCATCCATCACTAAAAATAATAAATTTTTGTGAGCAAACTGCATAAACTACAATTTATTCTTCAATACCAACCATCCATTCAGTTTAACAAGCTGAGCATCTCCCATCAGAGTGATTTTAAAGCTATTTCAATTTTGTGCTATGAAATGCTGCACTGAGGCAGTTGCCTGGAAAGATCTTAGGATCTTGTTATTGGTACCCATCCTCTGCTATGTTTTCACCTGTTTTAGATTTTAGATTGCAAGCTTCTCTGGGCAAGGATGTGTCTTCTTGTACTATGTAGAGCACCATGCAGAGTATTGGTGGTATATACATTTTATAGTCCATATTTAAACTTCAGGGGAAAGTCCTCCATTTTGTAACTAAACTGGCGATAGCCATGCAAAAAGGGAAAGGAACTGGCATCTTCAAAAAGAAAACCCTAATGCAAGGAATTTCCTCCTTTACTGCAACCTCACCAGTCCCAGTATAAGATGTTGGAGACTGAACTTTGCACCTTCAGCGTGCAATGCAGATATGAGACATAGGGAGATAAAAAGGGTACAGAAATAGCCATCTCATTGTCTCAATAGGTCGTTTCCAGGTTTGCACTGAGAAGTTATTTTAAATTTCTCCTGGAATAGAAACGTGAGGACTTGTATAGATATAGAAATCAGTAGAAAAATCCAAGACTTTAATGTAGCTGAGTACTCTACACCTACCCACAATAAACAAACAAACCAAGAGGTAAAACAAACCAGTGCTTTTTTTTCCCCCTTCCTAAAAAAATGTTTAGGGGTACTCTCATTTTCCTACTCATATTGAAATACTGCCTCTCAATGAGGCCAAACTTAGATTCACAAAATGTTTAGGGGTATGTGCCCCCAGCCCCCCAGAAAAACACACCGAGTAACAGCAAATGAAGGAATTCTTGTTCTTTCATAGTCCGTTCTTGTTTAGTGTGAAACATTTTAGAACACATAGGTAAAGGTAAAGGGACCCCTGACCATTAGGTCCAGTCGTGGCCGACTCTGGGGTTGCGGCGCTCATCTTGCTTTATTGGCCGAGGGAGCCGGCGTACAGTCATGTGGCCAGCATGATTAAGCCGCTTCTGACGAACCAGAGCAGCGCACGGAAATGCCGTTTACCTGCCCACCGGAGCAGTAGCTATTTATCTACTTGCACTTTGACGTGCTTTTGAACTGCTAGGTTGGCAGGAGCAGGGACCGAGCAATGGGAGCTCACCCCATTGTGGGGGTTCAAACCG